TAAGGTTATATTTTAAAGTAGGTCAAACTCCAAGGTCAAGGTCAAAGGGTCAAGGTCGTTGGTATCCAATGAAAAGTCTTACCACAGAAAATACATATCTCATGTATAGATGTCCTTGTATCTACTGTTAAAAAGATATAGCCAAAGTAAAAGTTCAAAATTTTTGTGTAAAAGTGGGTCAAACTCCAAGGTCAAGGTCAAAAAGTCAATGTTGGTGGTACCCAAAGAATGGTCCTGTCACAAGGAATACACATGTGAAATATGAATGTCATAGGTCTACTAAATCAAAAGTTATGGGCAAGGTTATAGTTTTTGCGGACAAACAGACAGACAGACAGACGGACACGACAAAAACTATATACCCCCGAAACTTCGCTTACGGGGCATAAAAATACATGCATTTCAGTTACCTTTTTATCATTTTTTTTATTAAATCTGAAAAGGGTGTTTTATAGGAAGATTTATATTAAGATATTTTTCGTAATTTACGTACATTTAACGTCTGTTACAACGCACTTTGAAAAATTACGCACTTTGAAAAAATTTTTCAAAGTGCGTTAATTTTTGGGACCAGGTTAACGCACTTTGAAAAATTTTTTCAAAGTGCGTTGAATTTGGGACCAAATCAACGCACTTTGAAAAATTTTTTCAAAGTGCGTTAAAACTGTACATCATAATTTTACACCATGTAAACATTTAACGCACTTAGAAAAAATTTTCATGAAACAAAAGGATTTAGACTTTTATTTTAGAAATAGACAACAGTATTATCCCCTCGCAACGTATGATGGGATATAGTGATGCGATTATGTGTGTTATTACTTTATGTGTATGTTAGTTTTTTCTGTGTGGAATATTGACGTAATTTGTATCGGGATCAATGTTAAATGATTTACTGAACATGCTTTTTTGGGAAGGAATGCTCCGCTTTGCGGTGCCCTTACTTTGATGTGCTTCTTTCCAAAAACTGATGGATTGAAGAAAACCAAGAAACGGAAAACGAAGAAAAGACTGGCTGAATTAAGGTCTATCAGCTCAACTCTTTATCATTCCCACCCAGATATATCTATTTCTATAACTCGTAACTTTAAGTGTCAATGATATTTGAAAAAAAGAGCATTCTAAAAACAGTATAAGCACTGTGCAAGGAAGTCTGTAGTAAATCGAAATTTTGTTCTTTTAAATCTCAAAGTCTATTTATGTTCATTTTCAGGAAAATCAGAATATTAATTACTAGCTGTAAATTGCTAATTTTTCGCGAGTGTTTTTTATCGCGAACTGGCTCTCAAACGTCAAATCGCTAGAATTATAATTCGCAAATGAACGGTTAATGAACAGATTTTACATAGATTTAAGCACCAGAAAAATAAAAGCGAGTAATATTTTTTTCGCGAGTGATACTTCTCGCAAAATAAATTAATTCCTCGCTTATATTAAGGAATCTACAGTACCTGTCTGCTTTTCGATGTTAATTTGATACCATATCTGATGATCTCTCTGTTAAACTCCAGGTATTTAAAAACACAAGTTTTGCCAAAATTATAGAGTTATTTCTCTTTGGTATCCCTAATAAGAAAGGTTTTATGAAAATTCATATAAATATCTATAAAAATTTTTAGAATCATTCCAATATGTTAACTTTTGAGAATTGACTAAGAGATAGGCGGAAGAACAATACTATCGTTCGTAGTTCTTTACGACATTGAATGTTGACGTTTTGACACCAAATTCAAAAGGGGTCTTCCTAAGGCCACAGGGATTCTGTTATGTTAAATTTCATTGCAAAAGCTCAAAGGGTTGGCGAGATATCGTGTGGAAACGAAAGCGTTACAGAAAGACGGATGGACGGACAGCTAGACGGACGGACTGACAGATAGACCCAAATTAATATCTCCCACTTTTCAAGCGGGGGACAAAAAGTATCAAATCAGGTTCAAATGATAATTTATCATACCTAAGATTTGTAGGAATATTGACTAAGCCATGCAGAATTTTTTTTTCAAAGTGCGTTAATATGGTCGATATTAACGCACTTTGAAAAAAAAATTATTTTTTCAAAGTGCGTTAACCTGGTCCCAAAATTTAACGCACTTTGAAAAAATTTTTCAAAGTGCGTAATTTTTTCAAAGTGCGTTGCCACAAACGTCGCATGGACACAAAGTTAACTTACATGTATATACTGTATGTATTTCTAAATAAATTTAAAAAAAAGCAAAAGGACCGAATGCATAGTTTTGAAATAGAATATTGATTTCGTGCCTTAATTATTATACAGAGGAATCGGTGCAATGCTAGTGAATGCCATTTAAATTAGTGGGTCAAAAAACGTTTTGGTGAATGAATAGAACTTGCGAACAAATATCATTTTTTCATGTTGAGTAAACTGTAGTTACCTCAGTACAATAAATGAAAACCAATTTTTGTAAATAAAATTCTTTGATTAATAGTTTGCCCCTCCCCTTGAGAGTCACGTTTTAAAGAAAGACAAAGGCACCATGTCCTTGCCTTTTGTTATACTGACGATTTTTAAAACCTTTTTTTAAATTGCTGACTTTTTAAAAATGTTTAATCTAACGTCTTGTTACAAATAAGTCGACATGTGAACTGCAGGAAGCAAAAAAGTTTGACTTCTTGTTTGTTTTTTCTTGGACTTACATGCTTTTATCATGTAGGCACAATTTTTTCAGGTAAGTTAAATTAGATCATGACTAGTATACAGCTGTAAATTATCATTTTTTTTATTTTACATAAAATGCTCTGCTATGTTTTCGTTTAAAACTACTTCTTGTATTCTTTTTTTATTGTACAAAAATTATGATAAGCTCTCTCAGAATAATTTTCCTCTTTTGAAAGATGCGTAACCAACACCTTTAATCACCCAACTTGAATGAGATGTACCAAGGTGTATAACATATACGAGGGCTGTTCAATAAATAATGTCCTCGGTGCTCAGAAAGAAGCAAACGACGCTTTTCAATGATTTAGTCTTCATGATTTTACCTATTAATCTCTTTTAATTCAAACACATGTCTGTTTCATTTTTTATCCAATTTCTGATTGTTTTTAGAACTCATTTTTGGGTATGACCCTTAGTATACTGGAAAATGGCAGATCCAATGATTTTCTGGACTTGTTTTTTCCTTCTAAAAGGTGTTTTTTTTTCAAGTTTGGAAATAGAAACAAGTCAAAAGTTCAAAGATCTGGCAAATATTGTTAATGTGAAAAAACATTAACTTTCTGTTTATGTCGAAAACCCCTTTACTCTTCAGGGCATGCGGGTTTGGACGTTGTCATGAAGAAATTCAATGTAGTGGATTCCTGATTTTGGTTCCTTGCTCTAATAAACCTTTCGATCTTTTTGCGAAAAAAATGCTTTCTAGACTCCACCAGATATTAAACTGTCTCCCCGAATACGAATTTGAACAAAATACCACTAATATTTAAGAAAATTGCATATAAATCTGTCTTTGTGCTCTTGCATACCTTTGCTTTTGTGAGACCTTCGCAGTTTTTATCAAGTACATCTTATTGTAAATTTTGTTTTGATGATTTTAAGCAATGGGTTCATGTTCCAATATATGTTAAAATATAAAACAAACGTGGATAACTACAATTACTGATATTTTAAAATAATTGTTAAGACTTTGGTACACGCTGTCGTTTTCACTCATTTTTCAAAATATAGGATGACCTTTGAGTTCCAAGCTTTTTTACTGTTAAACGTTTCTTAAAAACAGTGTGAATTACTCCCGATATGGTCTATCAAATTTGCCATGTGTCTTAAAGTCAATCATACATGATCAAATATTATTTGTTGAAATCTGGCAAACAATACATAAGTTGTTATAATTTTTGTTGGCAAGAAGGGTACCTATTTTTGATGCCCATTATATATAATTTTTTATCATTGAAATCCACCTGCTCATTTGTCTATAAAACAGGCATCGGTTGCTGTAAATGACACATATTTCAGTGAACATTTCTTTGGGATTTTTAACAAGTTTTACAGCAGCTTTAATGTAGCCTTTATTTTCACTCTAGTTTACTGATTCTTTACCATTCATTTATAATGCAGTGTCTCGAATAGCCCTTGTTTCCGAGCTTCTCACGATGACACTTTGTGATAAAAAGTTGTCACATAAACTGTTATAAATTCAGTAAAGATTCAATAATGAGAGAAAGTCAAGTTTAATGTCATATGATATCTGTATTGTATGTTATACAGTTCAGGACATTATTTATTGAACAGCCCTCGTAGATACATACGTAAGAACTCCATCTTGCTTTTCTGGCAATTAGAGTTGTCATTGTTACTTTGGAGTCGACCCATCAGATTAAAAAGAAATCCAAACAAATGTATGCATTTGCAAATATATATATATATATATATATATATATATATATATATATATATATATATATATATGAAATATTGCTTAGGGAGACCACGGAAGATATATTATCTGGCTTAGGGAGACCGCTGGATTAAGGCGACCTTTTTTGGTCTCCCTAATATTTTGACCTCATGAGTATTGCAAATGTCGTGTTTTTGGTATATAAACAGTCTTCCATTAGATAAAAGTGATGTTTTTGTCTGCGATTTAACATTAAAAAGTTGTCAAATTTCTATCATATTACCTGAAAAAGAAAAGAATGTATTACCTGTGTATAGATTTCAAAGGATATTTTTTCAGCATTGTGGAGACCACGGAAAACGTGCAATTTAACAAAAAATCTTGCATATATAATTTTTTCCGCATTAAATTATTTTAAATGAGTGTTTCTACCACTTATTTTTCCATTTTTTATGTTAAAAAACTAAAGATGAAAAATATTCTAAATTTATGCATCAAGTTCTGAATTCTTAGCAAGTGCTTTCCTTCATTTGTTCCGAATACCATCGGAATGCCTCTTCAGTTTTCAGAGAATGACCTTTGAACACCATGAATGTTGTGAAAGAGTTGTATTGCGGTAAGTAACTTAAATAATATAGTAATAAGTTGCATTTTAAAATACACAAGAAGAGCATTGATTTCTTTTTTGGAAAGGGGGGTGGGGTAATTAAATTTTGAATAATGAAAGTAAGATTTTAATTAAAGTATGGTTCTGTATTTGAACCTGAAGGAAATTCGAAATAAAGTTAAATGATGTCATATTATTTCATTATTTTAAATTAAGCAAGTCCACAAACAAAATTTAAAAATAAAGCCGAATGTTCTGTAGAAAAAAGCAGTCACTCTCAGGCTGAAGCACCTATTCAAGCTTTATGTAATAAGTTACCTCCTAGTCTTAAATGATTCTATTTTTATTTTGCCTCGTGATCTTTTTTTTTCATTTGCTTATCAACAATTTTTTTTTGTTGGTAGCCTCGTTCAACCTGAAACTGATAATGTGGTGTTTGGTTGTACTACATGTAACCCCCCCCCCCCCCCCCCTACGTATTGGGCAGGCCTATACTCTCCACTCCTACACTGTACACGAAAAGTTTATATTTCAAGGTGTTAGAAATTCATTTTTTCATAGCATTATGATATTTTGAATATATAGTGATTTGTTAAGTATTTTTATCCAATCAACAAATCATTTTCTCAGCCTATAGCATGTAGTTCCCTGCATTATTTTCAGCAATTCAGTGACAATCGTTTGAGGTTTAACCCATCCCCCCCCCCCCCATTCCCCACGAAATGAAACTGAAAATGTTTGGGTTTGCCCCCCCCCCCCCTTTATCTAAAATTTATTCCTACATCAGTTTAGGCATATGCTTGCGGGGTGCCCCTTTCTGAAGATGTGACAGGGAGTGAAACAATAAATTGTTTGGACGTACATTTTTGTATTATATGCATTTTTTAATGGATATAGAATTAAATTACAACCATTTATGGTTATTTTAAAAACAATTCAAAATTATTAATTTCTTATTTTATTTTATTTTGTTGTGGTACAAGTACCCTTTTTCTATAAATATCATCGGGCTCGAAGTGCCAAGTTTTTATAACTACATCCACTAAACACATGTTGATGTTGTGCCAGACTCCTCTCCGGTCCTTCTTTGTTGTGTGTAACCAGGTTTGTGGGTAATAAATACTGTTACTTCTTGGAGATAGTATTGTTTTAATCGTCTCACGACATCTGGAATCGCCCGGACACGGATCTACCGTTTGTTTTTGTTTTTATGTCGGTTGATTTCACCCGACTTTTCCCACACGTGTTTTGTCAACATTGATTGATAAATTGTGATTCGTGTGCATTCATTTTATGTAGGTTATCGTGTTCTTCTTTAATATCTGAGCATAATTGCTTCTTTTTTATGTGTTTATAAGTGTAGTAGGAAAGGAGAAATGCACGAAGAAAACATATGGCTGGACCGGGAATCGAACCCGGGACCCCTGTATTACTAGTCAGGTGCTCTAACCACTGAGCTATCCAGGCCGATATCCACGGTCCGTAAAGCCCGAACTTCTACATTCCTCCCTCCTTAAACAGGTCGAAGACACAAGTTCTAGGGCCCTGTCAGGAATTACTAATTTACACATACACTGTAACCTGAACAAGGCCCCCCACACTGGCCACCAAATGTAGTAGGAAAGGAGAAATGCACGAAGAAAACATATGGCTGGACCGGGAATCGAACCCGGGACCCCTGTATTACTAGTCAGGTGCTCTAACCACTGAGCTATCCAGGCCGATATCCACGGTCCGTAAAGCCCGAACTTCTACAATAAGTTTATTTCGTACTTTAAAAATTAAGTCAACAAATCTGTGCACGAGTGAATAACCTAGCCTTGTTTCCTGTATTTTCAGTGACAGAGAACCAGAATGTTGGATTGCAGGGAAGAACGAAGAGCCTCGAAACAACTTTGAGGTTTGTTTATTTTATATTGACACTTTTTAAATTATTATCTTTATGGAATACTCTGTGTGCAGATGAATATTTAGGAGACTACATTTTAAATTTCATAGGCCTAAGTTGGTTAGGCCTAATATCATGAATATGGCTCATGTATTTGCAGTGACTCTGCCACCAGCCAGCGTGTGTTTACATGAAATGTTACCTGTTTACATTACCTACAGACCTTGTAAACATAATTCTCGTAATCTTGTTTTATGTTAGTTTACCATATATATTTCCATTTCCAATTGTTTTCTCTGTGATAAACACTACAAAAGTGAATCTTGTTAATTTCATGGTAATACCCTGTGGTATGTATAATCTCTTTTACTGAAATGTCAGGTGTCAACCTGCATGTATATCACTGGTGTATAAATATACTAAAGAAAAAATAGATGTTTTGTTAAATTGTTGAACTAAATAATTTGATATGATATTTCTTTTCAACAAACAAAATAAATAATGTTATTTTAACACCCATACAAATCGGTTTCCTGACCATGCTGACCAACCCCCGTTTCATCAACTGCAATATTCCATTCAATATGGCGGCGGAGAAGTGACATAGTGCCTATATATGTTCGTGCTTGCCACAACCTAAATCTAGGTCACATATATAATTAAAGTTAACAAGATTACTTTGATCATAATTTAAAATTCTTTTGTTGTTTATTCTATAAATGTTTATATTTCACGACAGTAACTAAATTATCAATAAATTTGTTTCGTGTTTTTTTTGGGACTATATTTTAATAGTAAAATTTGATGGTTTTTTTGTGCATTTCAAATCTACTCAATAAGACGGTATTTCGATTTATTTTAAGATGGTTTTTTCAAGTAAAAATGGAAATATAAGAATCACTGTCTAGTTTAGTGAGTATGCCAGGGACATCAACAATAGTGGGAAACCTGGGATAATTTAAGCATAAAAGGCTTCGCCCGTTATGCAAATTATCTCATGTTTCCCACTATTGTTGATGCCCTGGCATACCCTCAAAACTAGACATTGATTCCTTAAGTAACTTTACTGTTATATAGATTTATAGCGATCTCTTTTTATTTAGAAATTTCGGACTATCAGTAGACAATACATGTTTACTGGTGTCTCATTATATCGCGGTACTTAAAACTTAAACATAAAAAGTGTAATTCCAATTTTTCACTTTACTTTCATCAAATGTCAAATGATATTCATATTTAATGCTGTAAAATATCATACACCTATTTACTGGCTATGAGAACAATAGCAAGTTTATCGTTCCCCAAGACAGCACTTTCACCTCGGGAAATCATGGAAATAGTTTGCTGTCGAGGGGGACAATAAACTTGCTATTGTCCTCATAGCCAGTAAATAGGTTTTTTGTTATACCAATGCTGACTTAACTTTTGTTAACTTTTGGGAGTCCACAATTATGATATTCCATATTATACCTATGCTGACTTAACTTTTGTTACGTCATAATATATATACGCGTCACAATCCGTATAAAACCAGAAGTTTTCCGAGATGAAAAACGAGGGAAACAGAATGCTGCCGGTGAATAGTTTGATGACTGTTTCACCATGGGCAGATAGCACAAAAACTATTTCACAGTAGGGGCTGTTTGGAAAAGATAGCATGTTTATTCGTCATGTTTTTATACTGAACAAATTTACAGAGGTATAATAAACAAATTTATTGTTCTCGCAAATAGTTCTCAAACGTTGATTAAAGTTGGTCTCCTGAAGGATGTTATCATGCAATTGGTCTGCTTAAGTTATAATTAAAACATATATATTATTATTTTACTTTGAATTTGCATTATGTCAGTCATTAGACAATAGACATGTTAGAAATATATGGATCTTAATTCCATTTTTTTTTATTTCCATTAAATACCTAATGTCTATTTGCAGGGTCTATGATAGAATTTTGTGGACCCCAGTGGAAAAAGAGGAAATCTTAACTCCAGGGTCAACATGTTTTTGTTCCAAGAAAGGTAAATTGATAATTACTTTTGCTAATATACTCTTTTATAAATTGTATGAACAAGAATGAACAAACAACGTAGTCATACCAGTAACCTAACAACAGTTTGAAAATGAAAGTGCAGTTTATGATCACAGGAGTTCGCGTACCTATCAATTTTGCCAAAATTTTCGGTAAATAAAAAAAAATACGTAATACCTATAATAATAACACAAGGAGTGCAACAGTTGTCGGCGACGCCATGACGTGACATTAGGGCTGGGTATTGGCCTGAAATTTCGTATTGCGATATATTGTGATATTTTTAACTGTATTGCAATATGTATTGCAATATTTTTAATGTAATAAAAATGGCACTTTCTTACTATATTTACTTTGATTTACATGCAGAATGTACATAACTTTGATAAGTAACCAACACAGAAAAAAATCTTGTTGAATTCATTTAAGTTATGCTCTAAAATGTTCCCACAAACAACTTCTGTATTACTGTTTGGTTTAATAACAAACTTTTATAGGTTCATTTTTATATTTAATGACAAAATTCCTTAATCTAAGCATATTGCCAATATATCGATATTACAAAATCGTATTGCGATACGATATTTTTTGTCATTGTATTGCAATATATTGAAATATCGATATTATTGCCCAGCCCTACGTGACATCATGGGTGGTCCACTTACCCAAAAGGAAAAAAAAATAAACAATCATACACGATTAACTAGAGATTACGATATTATTTAGAAACGAGTACAAGTACTTGTCTCTGGTTTCTTTTTGCATACAACCTCAATCGTCTAGATTAGCATTTCAAGCAGTTTTGTTCCTCTTGGGGTAAATGGATGCGCCCGTGACGTCACGTCATGGCGTCGCGGACAACGGATATTTGAGCGAAGTTGTGGAGAAATGTCACCGCTGCTGCTGTAAAACATGCATTTGAAATCATGCATTAAGAGCCATAAAGAATGGTCCCTACCAAAAAGATTGGTTTGTGTTTTATAATTTTTGATTGAAGATTAATTGTGCAACAGCCTTGATATTAAGCGAGGGGTTCCCAGGTGACCTAGAATGCGTTGCACTCCTTGTGTTATTTTGATACTTATTACGTATTTTTTTATTTAATGAAAATTTCGGTATAATTGATAGGTACGTGAAGTCCTGTGTTAGTTCAATCAAATGTCAGAATCCTTGTACATTTTTTTTGTATATCATTTTTGTTAGGGCTGTGTGTTGAGCAAAAACCATCAATATTTTATAATGTGATAATGTTACAATGCGTCTAATTGTGTTCTTTAACAAGTCTATCAAAAAGTCATAAAAATCAATATGCAAGAATTCTACAAAGAAATAATTGTTTTGCAACTCATATTAATTTTTTTGTTTTTATTTCTTGTTTAAATATTAAGTACATTTATCTTACACGTTGAATAAATAACATTTACTGGAAATAGGTTCATATTTTCAATATGTTGTTATTTTCTGACTCAGAAAAATAGTTTTATATCCTATGCATCATGTGAATGTGTTAAGAAAGAAAAATTATTATCCATATTTATATGCAATCTTATTAAAATTAGATGTTCCGAATCCGCTCTAACAACATTCCATTCTGGATTACATCAGAGCAACCTTTCGATAAATCATTATCCAATGAAATCGTTGCCTCTGAAATCTTGGCTTATAGTTCAAATAGGTTTCCTCTTTACACTGCCAAACCTAAACATGTTAAATGCCCGAGGAGTTTCGTAGTAAACAAAATATGCATTGCATAAGCTGTGCTATTTATGAATGTGACATGCGGGATATCTTGTATAGTTTGTGCTTTTTCATTTGCGTTATTCACTTAAGGATGCTAGACTGGTGAAATATACATTGAATTCATATTGAAATAACTTGAATTTAACGTAAGACAGTATCAATTATGATATATAGCTGTGGAACTAATTTTAGAATTGTTTACTGAAGCTTGAATCTGATTGGTCAAATTTTTTATGTGCATTCATAATCGAAAGGTCACTCTGACGTGACTGAATGAGATGTTGTTAGATGTTTGAGAAGCGGTAGCAGATTCGGAACATATAATTTTGATTAGATTGATTTACATGTAGACATTTCTCATCCATATTTAGAAAGCAAAAATATTTTGACTTATTTTTAAATTTTTTTAAACCCTTTAATTTAAACTTATTTGAAATTATTAATTTTGAAACTACATGTTGTTACATTTAGGCATGTGGGTATATGTAAATATCCTGTAAGTTAAAGTCTTTGTGTATGTAGTCATGCTATATACTTTAGACAATTAGTACACCTATAGTTTTGAATACAATTCATACATTGATTTCATTTGCTGCAATGGTCTTTTGTAATATTGCAAAAATGCATTTGGTCCACCTAATGCATGTATAAAGCAGTTAATGTATATACTCACTTATGATCATGCTTATAAGTATTTTGAAGGGATTTAAATTCTGGTCCAGAACTCTATATCAAACTTATAAGCAAATCATAAAAAGGTTAGTATTTCCAATCCAAGTTAAACATCAGAGCATTGATCTGAAATGGTCAATGTATTCTGTCAAAAAGTTGCACCACCTTATAAGCAGGTAAATACCAAATCCCTTCAAAACTTGAAATAACCTGAAAAAATACACCAGTCCACATTAAAAGCCAGTATATGCAGTATAGTTTTTTTTATTTTGATAACAGAATAACACTATAAATAATGAATTTTGAAAAAAAAAATTTTAAGTTAGGCCATGATAAATAAATTGCTAGATTCTCATCCAAATTTTTTTTAAAAATCGAGGCGGGCGGGCGGCTTTTATTTTATATTTTTTCAATTTGCAGATTTTTTATTGACCTGGTCAATTGGTGTAATGTATTGATTTATTTAAGGAATCACAGTCTAGTTAGTAGAGTATGCCAGGGCATCAATGAGGGTTGGGAACGTGGGATAATTTGCGTGATAGGCAAACTGATGATGCAGAATTTATCCCACATTTACTTATATTTTCATTTCATAGTTAAATAAAATTAAAAGTTTAGATGTTTAAAATGTACACTAGCAGGTTAAAATTAAACAAGGCCACTGGCATCAAACACAAAGATAGCAGAACAAGATTTACTGTACATGCATATTACGTCTCCTTAGAATCAGATACAAAGACAGACGCACTAGATTTACATGCATTTTAAGGCCTCAGCTCTTGACCAATAGCTTGGCAAAGCTTACAATTGATTTCTTGATCATTCTACTGAAATGTAAATTACATTATATTAGAGTGGATCTTTTAAAAAAAAAATTTATGCAGTTGACTTAGAAGCTCTTTATTACATGCACTGTTTACTTTTACAGGGGTGTATGCCAGAATGTTTTGAAGAACAGTCTGAATCTAACATGGAATAAATGAGGAAAAACAGCCTTCCTGCTTACAAATCTATATTCTGACAAAGGGTAATTTTGTTTAATTCAATTAGAAGTGCACATATGATTATGCTCCCCCACCCCTTCATAGAAAGGGAGGGCATATTGCTTTGATGCTGTCTGTCGGTCGGTTTTGTAGTCCACCACTAGTTCATTTTCTTCGCAGAGGTTGCACATATTGAATTGAAATTTGGTACTGGTGTACAAGGGGTGATCAAAAAGTTCGCGAACTATCTCTATATCTACAAAACCACAATTCAGATTAGAATGAAAATTCTTACACACATAGCCATACACAAGGTCTATAAATAGCATATGCTGAAAAAAGTTTTTCTCCTTGTTTGTGACGTCACAATGTGCAAATAACGTCACTATATAGGTCACTTGTGACGATTAATGGTTGTCTTAGTCGAACTCGTTCAACAAACGACTGTACAATTTATTGTATATCTTAGAAATCCCTCTGCAGTATCATATGATAATTTGTACACAGCTTATTAAGATAAATTGGGTTCTATGAATTTGATTAATGATTGGATTGATCGTTTAAGTGAAGGAAGGCAGAAGGTTAAAAATGATACTCGTGATCTTGTCCAGTCAAAGCAAGTTTGAAAAGATATGTGATTTTAATTAAGCATTTTGCTATCAAAGACCTCCAATTTACACTTTGAAAAATAGTTGAATATTTGAAGAATAATATAATTTTTAAATACCTAAGAATCGTTTACTTTACATTTTAAACATATTAGATATGATAAAAAGGAGGCACCCATTCTCTATTCACCTTGAATAAAGGTCTCCAGAGACAGAAGATTTGTGTTTTAATGGTCGCCATGCTTATTTTTTGAAAGGATATTCTTATCCACCCATTCTGTTGCCAAGGTTTGACCATTTCTAACAAATTAACTGTTATTGTTATAAAAATTTACTCACATGGAAAGAAATATAAAACTCAGAAAAATCTTTCAATTTTTGTGACAGAACGCTACAGAGGGGGTCACGTGACCACCAATATCATGTGATTCGTGCATGTGTAACAGGTGGTTGATGTGCATTAAAATCAAAGAGGAATAATTTAAAATATAATCGACATTGAAACAAAATATATTGTTTCTTTTATGGAAGTTATTCAATTAGTTCGCAAACTTTTTGATCACTTTTTATATTGTTTGATTATAAGCATGGGTTAATATATGCATAGGTATCATCATGTCCATCTCTTTGTTTATGTGTTTGCCCACTTGTATGATTAGCTTTTTTGTTCTAATTATGGCTGAGATAAATTGATTAAGGTCATCTGAATACAAATAATTTAAAGTAAATTACTATTGTATTAGGATGGACATTTTGGAAAAGATGTAGCTTTATTACTAGGGTATTATAAAATCTCAAGTTTTGAATGCTGATTTACATGTAGATAGTAGTTGGTCTCCTTAATGCAGTTATAATACATTTGGTCTCCCTATGCACACATTATATTATATAAATTGAAAGATCTACATGTATTTTTATTTGTTGTTTATTGATTGATTGTATACTGTTTAACGTCCCTCTCCAGAATATTTCACTGATATGGAGACGTCACCATTGCCGGTGAAGGGCTGCAAATTTGGGCCTATGCTTGGCACTCAGGGCCATTGAGCAGGGAGGGATCTTTATCGTGCCACACCTGCTGTGACATGGGGCCTCGGTTTATACGGTCTCATCCGAAGGACCGCCCCATTTAGTCAACTTTTACAACAAGCAAGGGGGTACTGAGGACCTATTCTAACCCTGATCCTCACGGGAAGTTTAATGTTCTTGTTAGATTTAGTTCATTTAACAAACATATAACTTACTAGGGTATTAAAATCTCAAGTTTTGAATACTGATAAAGTGATTTACATGTAGATAGTAGTTGGTCTCCTTAATGCAGTTATAATACAATTGGTCTCCCTTATGCATACAGTATATTATATAAATTTAAAGATCAACATGTATTTTTGCTAGTTGTTTAACAGGTCGAGGAAACTATTTTCTGTGAAGTTGGAATAAATTTACATGTTTAGTGAGGAACCAACGTGACTGACAAATCGACCAATCAGCTCAATGAGTTGCATTATGGTTTACTAAAAAAATATTACATGTGTGTTTCTAAAAGGCCAGTTTTTTAAATTGCTCTTGGAAAAACGTGATGCATTTTCCCAAGCATTTTACACACTTAATACAATATGAATATCATTATCTACTAATTACATGCTCACATTTATATACAAATGATTTACAATGGTAAAAATTAGGGTTTTCTCCACTCCATTTTAAAAGTCCGTTTGTTGACAGCTTTCCCTGTGTTATGCTGTCAGTGAAAAGTCATTTTACGTGACTATTACTTGGTCCAAAAACAATCAACTCTGAGGTGTGCTTACGTATTGTCAATGTTTCCAACGTATACAACTTCAAAATATATGCTACTCACGTTCTGTGATCAGTGTGCATGAGGGTTTATATAACTTACAGGTAAATAATAAAAAAATGCAACTTAAGATATTCTTTTTTTTTCTTTATAAAATGCGAATTTTAATTTCTAGTTACAAATAACTGAGCAACAACTGAATAAATTTAACCAGTAACATAGCAAATTAATGATTATCAAGTTAAAAAACTTATCAATGTGCAAACTTTGTGAGCAGTAGAGGGGTATTTCAAGGTACTATTTAACAAGGAAAACTTACTTTATTTTGTTAATGTCACCATGAAGAATCTTAATTAGTACCCAATCTACGTATTTTTCATAACACATTTCAAAAAAATTGTTTGCTGACTTTCCTGTAGTCGTTTGAAATCGCATCCTAAATTTCCCTGACCCATGTGTTTTTTAGTAAAAATAAACATGTAGTAGACCATCATGCTTTTCGGCTCATTCACCATTGTTTGCTGTGAGAACCTCTGTGCGCAATCGCCACAATATTCATATAAGGTAGTTTCCTCGACCTGTTTAATGTCCCTCTTATATTTAGTCTATTTAACAAAGCATACAGTGTAAAACTTACTAGAGTAATAAAATAAGGATATGGAGATAACGAACAGTATTCAATATTGAAGTCCATAAACAACATTAAATAGGAGCAGAGCAAACACGGACCGACGAAACATCAGAGGTGAGATCAGGTGCCATGGAGGAATGAGCATCCCCTGCTGACTAGTCATACCCGCCGTGTACTCCTTGTCATAATCGGGAAATAACGGAAAATTCGTCAACAATTCAATGTACCGTAATTAGGGGAATACAATACGCACTTTTTTCCTAAAATAAATTTCTGTGAGAAAGGGATGCGTATTTTACATCACAATGGGATTTTGACAAGTTTTTCTTTCAGGTGAAACACGGCTATCATACGTACATACCGTAGAATTACCTAGAGACATATGCAATTTCTTTTGTTAATTGCCATATTTTAAACTTCGGAAAGTTATTGTTTGAAGGTATGCTTCTTAAAAATGTCACTTTCATAATCTTTTTATGCCCAAATAACTTGAAAAAGTAAGTTAAAAGTAATTTGAGCTGCATGTTGATTGTCTCCGAGGAGGCCGCCATTACCGATGTTATTTTTAGACGTTCACTCATAGCTATGTCACGTGCTTCCGGAATGATAGTGCACATGCACCTTATCTGCCAGACAAAGTAATAAATCATTTTTTGATGAAATACAATAAAATTAATATTAATTTTAGGTTTAAAATAACTCAGTGATAATCTGCAACAATATTAACACCCCTCCATACGTTCCAATGAAAGGAAGCCAATGTTGTGACACACGTGCGCTGGTCAAATGTTAATTACCTATCAACACCCCTCGGGGCAATTAATTGTCTACCGACTCCAAAGCAATGTTTTTACAGTTAGAGCACTGATTATTTACTGCCATGTTAATTGCTGTGATTATTTTCTTTGTTAAAAATTGGGGGTCGGTTTATGACTTTTCGTATGTGTGAGCATGGTGAACATGTGTTGATTACGGCACTTAAACAATTAAACACTTGTTAAATGTAATTTTACCTTATCTTATACTTATCGGCCTCTTGTTTAAATAATTGAGAGTTGAGAAATGAAATCTAAATTATGCTAAAACTTTTAATAAAAGTGGTATCATTTAGAAAATAAGATATCCGCGAAGATTCTGAAGAGGAAAATCGTAGTCTTCTTAAAGAAATAAATACTTTGATGTTTCAATTTCGTTTCTTGTTAAAATATTGTAACTTGTAAGATAATTTTAAGCATGATTATCTAGAACCAAAATTAAATATGACAACTGATAAAACTTTCGACAATATCTCTTGCTTTGTTGAAATAAAATTATTTCATCTAAGAATATGGCAACGCATAATTTCAAAATCACCGTAACTATTCTTTAAAAAAACCTGTTAATACTTTTAAGCAACATTATCTTGTGCTTTGTTGAAATAAATGAATAAATAATTTTCTCCAGATTGCCGCGATACGGAATGTCAGGATTAAGAGAAAGTTATAAAGTGTGTATTTTTAATAAAGTGTGTTCAGTAAATTTTTGACACCTAATCCTCGCGCCGATTTTCGTAACAAATTACCGTGATTTTCATAGTTCAGAACATCGCTTGGTAAATTTTTCTGTTGCGTATAATACATCCGAACTGCGTTTTTTTCCCCAGTTTCAGACTCAAAAAGGGGGGTGCGTATTTTACATCAATGCGTATTATACTCGGCCAAATACGGTATAAAAAAGGACTAACAATTGGTATGAAAAACGTAAGTCAGCATTTGACTCAATGTTAAATTGTATTTGCTGACAAGGTCCATTGTATCAACCATAGAACTTACAAAATGATGACTTTAAACAAGACTGCTGATATTCCTGTTTCATCAACTTGAACTTGCTTGTCAATAATTTACTTCTTTTTAGAAATTGTTTGTATGTAGAGCATGCTCTTGCATATCGAATCAACTGAGATATAGTGAAACCTGTCTAATCCGACATGCACGGGGAGAGCAGTTTTGTGTTGGAATAGACAGAGTGTCAGACTGCACAGTGTTAAAACAAGGAAATTACTCAAATGGAAAAGAATTTAACATCGAAATTCACAGTGTATCGGATTATTCAGGTGTCGGATTAGACAGTTTTCACTGTACATACACTCCGTATGCAGGTGATGAAGATATATTGCTGCATATTTAAGGGAAGTTGACGATACAAAAGTCGTCACGTTTATCATATAACTAGGTTGTTAGGTTACCATTAACAGTGATTTACATCTTTTTCAAGTAAAATATCCAAGTAAGAAACAGATGTGCCAGAGTCTGTGGTATCTTTTATCTCAAGCTCTCCTGAATATATCGTATTGAAGTAGGAATGGAAACTACCAATGTTAATTGTCAACATGTTGTCGATATATCTGAAGATCGAGTTGAAGGCCACAGCAAGTGTTTTCTTCTTTTCACGCATAAGATTTGGCATATATTCTACTTCATAAGAATACAAAAAACTCAAGTTTTGAAAACTGATTTACATGTGGATTGAAGTTGGTCTCTTAAATTCAGTAAAATTACATTTGGTCTCCCTTATGCATACAATATAAATTTAAAGACTGGAATGTATTTTTATTTATTTCTTTGTTGTTTAATTCCTTCTTAGATTTAGTTCATGTAATAAAGCATGTAATTAACTAGGGTATTGAAATATATCTCCACTTTAGGTTTACCATTTAGCATATTAAAATTAATATCGAAATTTCAATTTCAAAAAAAGTTTTATGTGCTAAAGGTTAATTTTTTTAAAAGCATATTATATTATAATACTAAAGGTATATTTAATTCATATATTATCAATATAAAATTTTCATAGTAATACAGTTTCTGTATACCATGTTCAGTAAAAATCAAAGGATCAAAAGTTAATTAGAGGGTCACCACGAGTCCCAAACAAGGTGTGCAGGGTATACACAGAGACCAGTAAGTAAATTACAATCAAGTTCCAGCATCCAATGATGGACTTTCACGCACTTGATTGAAAGGGCTACCTAGACCAGGTATTTTTGAAGGCGTTGCTTAAAATCTGTGCCTTTAAGCAATGTTATGTTAAGCATCTCATATCAGAGTAGGAAATTACTGACTGCCCATGGCAGTCTGTTTTTGAGGTAGGGATTAATCTCTGTATATGTAGTCCTGGTTATTTAAACAACTTATCTCTGTTCTCTTTTTAAAAAAATGTGCAGTTGATTTAGGAGCTCTTTATTATCTTCCTTGTTTACTCTTGCAGGGGTGTATGCCAGATTCTTTCGAAGAACAGTCTGAATTTAACATGGAAAAAATGAGGAAAAACAGCCTTCCTGCTTATCTATATTCTGACAAAGGGTAATTTTGTTTTTAATTCAATTAAAAGTACACTTATAATTATGCTTGCATCCCTTTCTAAAAAGGGAAGACATATTGCTTTGCTGCTGTGTTGTTGGTAGGTTTGGTAGTCCATCACTAGTTTTGCTAAATTTTCTTCACAGAGGTTGCATATATTGAATTGAAATTTGATACCAGTGTGTATTGTTTGATTATAAGCATGCATGTATACATGTACATAGGAATCATCATATCCATCTTTCTGTTCATGTGTTTGCCCACTTGTGTGATAAGCTTTTTTTGTTTTAATTCTGGCTGAGATAAATTGATGAAGGTCATCTAAATACAAACAATTTAAAGTAAATTAGTGAACTATCGTGTTGGGATAAACATTTTGGAAAACATGAAAATTAATTGCTAGGGTATTATAAAATCTCAAGTTTTGAATACTGATTTACATGTAGAAAGTAGTTGGTCTCCTTAATGCAGTTATGATACATTTGGTCTCCCTTATGCATACAGTATATTATACAAATTTAAAGATCAACATGTATTTTTGTTTGTTGTTTAATGAACCTCTTATATTTAGTTTATTTAACAAAACATATAATTACTAGAGTATTAAAATCTCAAGTTTTGAATATTGACTTACATTTGGATTGGTCTCTTACATTTAGATAATAGTGTTGCATTATGTATGTACTATGCCTAAATAGTAGACATGGTGCACGAGCCAGAGGTGAGTGCACTATGTGTCAAACATTGCCTACTGCTTAGGCATAGTACAATCATGCATAATGCAACACTATTGTTATTATTATGCTGACTGTTATGATTATTTATGTGGCAATTTGACTTTTTCCTGAAAATATCGGTGCTAACACGATGCACTTGCAAGAACTCATTCAAAATTTTCATGCTAAAGTTGCTTAGGTTTTTTTTAGGATATAAGATTATTTTCTCTAAATAAGTCAGGATTTTCTGTCCCAAAGCAACTCATCTTTATTTTCTGTTTTGTTATTACGACTGATTTGTTTGCATACGTCAATTCTCATTGAAATTTTTCTTTCACATCCTTATATTAAGAGTTAAATAAAAAAGCTTTTAATGACTCCATGACATCAGTTCATCTAACAGTCTGTATGTAATTAGTTGGAAACTATTCAAATAATATTTGTCTATTTCTCCTTATTGTGTCAATTGGATAAATTAAGTTTAAATATTAAATTAAATGCCACCAATCAGTGATCGTGTCTGTGGCATAATCGATAAGGCATCGGACTGACAAACTTACGGTTGTGAGTTCGTTTCCCGGCGTGAGCTTTGAAGAATTTTATTCAGTAAGGAAGTCCATGCACTATTTTGGCATAGTATGCTTATGCTATTTAAATCCTAAGACCACTATGTCAGAATAGTAGGATATGGGTTGTATAGAGACAAACTGACAGGAAGCATAATAATAGGTAATAATACATTTGGTCTCCCTTATGCATACGATATACATGTACAGGGTGTCGGAAAATAATTAAAGGTAACACTTTCAAACTTTTAGAATGCAGTTTTAATATAGAAGAATTTATTTCAAAATATGTACACATATAAAGCAAGCAAGTAAGTTTAATCTGATAGCTTAATTTAATTAATATGTCAAAGAATACAGTAAAACTCGTTTAGTGCGAACACTGATATTGCGAATTCACGGATATAGCAAAGTCATTTTGGATCCCCAGCTATAAAAATTTAATGGATTTCTTATACGTTTATAACAAATTACGGATATAGCGAAGTAATTTCAAAGGTCCCAGCGACTACGTTATAACCGAGTTTTACTGTATTATTTTTGCAGCATTTTATGTACATAGTACTAATCGTCATTTCAATAATTAATGACGTTCTCTAAGTGACGTCCTTTCACCAGCTTCCCTTCCCTAACTCGCACTTTGAAATTATTAATAACATTTTGACACATTTCTTTGCTGATCTTAAAGTCTCGTTTAATATTTGACAAAAGCATCTTGTGTCCACCGGTTTTAGTTTGTAAACGCAAGACGAGGTATCCCCAGAGAAAGCATTTGCACGGGTTCAAATAGGGACTGTGTGCAGGCCAATATTGTCCACACTCCTGCACTTTTGGGTATCGCTGGGAAATTACCTTGTCACTAAAGATTTCATTGAGATAATCTAATTCAATATTACATGATGTTTGTGCTGTAGCACCATCTTGCATGAATCATACATTTTGCATATTTGCTGTTCGTTTTCGAAGCGCAGGAACAAATTTGTTTTTCAAAATTGACAGGTATCATTGTGAATTAATAGTGTCTGTAAACACGTAAGGGCCAATCACTCCATGTAATGATATGGCACACCAAACAGTTAATTTTTCACTTTGCAATGGTCTCTCTGTGTAACAATGAGGCTGTTCATTTCCCTAGAATCTCATGTTTTGTTTATATATATGTACAGAGAGGAGGAAATGTGATTTGTCTGAAAACCAAACATTTTGAAATGCATCTGCTTAATTGTCAGCAACGTCAGCTGCCCAACGCAAAAATCAAGTCTTTGAACCTGATCTGAAATACTCAAACTCTGCATTATCTGAATTTTGTATGGAAAAAGTCTGAGATCCTTCCTAAATATGTCATGAACACAAGTATTTTGGATTCCAGTCTCTGAGGAGGAACATCTAATTGATTTTTTGTGACTTTTAGAGAGCATTTCTCGAAGCTTATTCACATTTTTGTAGAGTTTTCCGACTTGACCTGGGTTGACCTGCTTTTGGCGCATTGAGCCCTTTCGAATGATATCCGATTCACAGAAATAGCTCGAGATTTAGCGAAGTAATCAAAATGGTAAAATGTTACCTTTCTTTTCAGACACCCTGTATTATATAAATCTAAAGACTGACATGCATTTTTTTTGGTTTCTTTGTTGTTTAATGTCCCTCATAAATTTGGTTCATGTAATAATTAAAGCATGTAATTAACTAGGGTATTGAAATATATCTGAAGTTGTTAATGCTGATTTGCATGTGGATAGTAGTTGGTCTCCTTAATGCAGTAATAATATATCTGGTCTCCCTTATGCATACTGTATATTATGTAAATTTAAGTATCTATGTGTGTAAGTATCTTAATGTGTGAAAATCAAAATATACTCTGAATGATAGTGGTCGTTGACTTGTTCTTTCAATTCAAGCACACAAGTCAACAGCCAAATTATCATGAAATATAGAATTAGAAATTATTTTATCATCTGTCTCAATCTACATATACGAATCATGAATTTAAGAATGTTAATATATTATATATGCATTAAGTATTAAATTGTTAATTTTGGACAATTAGTATGTTTAGCATCTCATATCAGAGTTTGAAATTGCTGACTGCCCATGGCAGTCTGTTTTTGAGGTAGGGATTAATCTCTATACTTGTAGTCCTGGTCATTTAAACTCTCTATTCTTTTTTTTCAGGGTATAATAAGTTTGTAGAAAATAATTAAAGTATAATATATCAAGGGAGCACTTTTAGTTAAATGTACTAGCTATAGTATGAGTTGACCTACGATTAGTGCTGTCAAATCGGATGATTTTTAGTAACCGGGTACTCGCCTACTTTTCAGTTCAAGTAGCTGGTTATGCAGATGATTTTTTCTTTAGACCTCAAAATACCTCCTTTTGCAATATACTAAACAGGAACTAGTATAAGTATTTGTAACTTCGTAACCATTTCCATATTTTTTTTTTGCATATTTTCCATATTTGCATATATGGAATAAAGACAAGTACATGTGTATGCATGTAAATCTGCATATCTGACATGCTTTGATTGGCTAATGCACTGATGTGTGAATTAGTAAAATGAGCATGAACTAGCGAGAAAGCTTTTCATTGTGACTGCATTGCCTGATATAAATAACTGTTCTCTTATTCTTAGTATACATACTATTTTTGGTATAGAGGAGAAACTCTCATTGAATCTCAAGACATTTAAAATTACTTCTTTATTAAAATCTAGTTTGTAATGTCACTTATGTACTCTTCTTTCCCGTCTTTGGTGTATATAAACCATATCCAAAACAATTAATATAACATCTCTGTGCGCCGGTTACACATTTGACGTCATTTTAGTCAAACCCAATTCCAAAGATACTTTGAAAATCATTAAACGAATTGTCTGTTTCTTAAATGCTATACGAACGATTTCTAAATGGAGGTAAATTATTGACAAACAAGTTAATGAAACAAGAATATCAGCAGTCTTGTTCCAGGTCATCATTTTGTAAGTTTTATGGTTGATATTATGGCTTGTCAGCAAATACAATTTATCATCGAGTCAAATGCTGACTGACGTTTTTCATACCAATTGTTAGTTGTTATTTATACACTGAATTGACGACGGATGTTTCCGTTATTTGATGGTCGTGACGTTAAGCACACGGCCGGTGTGACTGGTCAGCAGGGGATGCTCACTCCTCCATGGCACATGATCCCACCTCTGATGTTTCAGAAGTCTGTTTTCTCTGCTCCTATTTTGTATTGTTTTATGGATTTGATATTGAATACTGTTTATTATCTCAATATCCTTCTTATAATTATGAAGTTTTGATATATATATATATAAGATTTTCATTCTGGTTTCACTGATTAAAATTTGAGTTCAATGTTTTACAGTCAGTAAATTGCTATTTCTTTTGTTTGTTTACTTATATCAGACCAATGGTGTCAACATATTCTCAAATAATTAGAATAAACTTACATATATGTACAACTCTTAAACTAGAGTACTTTTTGTCACTGAAGTTATATGATTGGTCAAAAATTGACTTACTTTCATTTTTGTGTCACTTTCAGAGCAGAACAACACTTAGAGATAACTTTACTTGGTGCCTGTCTGTCCGTCTGTCACACTTTACATCTCCAGAACTGTAAGAGGTATGGTTTTGACATTTTGCAAATATATTTCTTGGCACTAGGGCTTTTGTAAATCACCATGGCTAATGACCCCATGACCTTTGACCTACTTCGCAAAATTATATTGCCGATAAATTTGGTTATTTAATCAAGAGGAAAGCGCCAAGTCAATCGCATTTTTATTTAGCTCATGCACTGATTGTCATTGAAAATGAATATGCTATTATTACAATTTACTTGACTTGCCCTTCTTTACAAAACATATTCTGTACAGTTTGTTTTAAATTATGGCTTTCAAATTTTGAGAGAGTTTAATTAGCATTTATACATTTTTATGAGCTCATGATACTATACTTTGAAACCCTTTCTTTCTGAGGATTTTTGGAAGCACCTACATGTGTATTAATAAAATGATAAATATTTATTTCTCATAATTTCAATTAAATTATTCATTTGATTGCCAGATTCTATCCCAGTCTTTTCCGTTTGGTCCTTTTTTCCTTGCAGACAAATGCATGAACCTCCAAGGCTCCATGCTTATGTTATATTAATATCTGGCCACTCTTAGATTTATTTATCTCTTTAATGAAGCCACATAGCAGGCTACTTATACATTCCTCAAAATACTCTAGTTCCTATATAATATCAACAGTAAAATTATTTCAAAAAGATTTGATGCTTCATAGTGATCAGTCTGTTCATTCATCTGTCTGTCAAATAAACATATCCCTTGTTAAGAATACAGGTGACTCTCAATACTTCAATCTTTGATTTTTTTAAATTAGGTACATGAAGTTGCTTCCTAACGTCTGAAAGTTCTATTACAATCATCATTACTTTTATTAGTTTTCTTCATGTATTAAAGTTTAATGTATTTTGAACTTTAAAACTTTTATTTGTTCCAGGTAAGAGAGAAATTCAGAAATTCTAAAATTGCCCAAGGAGTTCGTGGATTGCATCATACTGCTTACAGACCTTGACAAAAGACAGTGTCTTGAAAAAAAACTGAAAATATTCAGTGAAAAATATTGATGAGAGAAAGATCCACTAGAAATCTTGAAGCCTTTGAGCTGAAATCTGGACTTAACTGGTATGTCTTACTAGGTCATCAGTCATGTATAATAAATACAATAAACACTTTAGTACAATCTTTAAATATATAATTTGTAGCTCGCATACTTCAATTATTTCATGACATTTAAGTAAGAATGAGAAATTCCTAGCTAGATTAAAAACTATTATAGACCAAATTTGATATTGTGAAATAATTCATCTAGAAAATCAGATATGAGTACATGTGTGTAAACTTGCATGTAAATTAATTGTTAAATAAGTTCAATTTATCATTAAGTTGCAAGTTAACTAATTGTAGTGCATCTTTAATGTAAAAGTATGGATGAAAACCATTTGATTTTTGTACCTTTGAATGTATTATTCAATTTGTATAAGCTCTTTTGATAAATTGTTTGATATTTTATAAAAGTTTTTAGTACATGCAATCACTAGATGTGTCATAATTTTGATTTGATTACTATTCTGTTTTTAAGAAGTAAAAAAGTAAAAAGTACCATGTAGCTTATTCTAGTTTAGTGGCACATCGGACTGGTATATCATGTATATTGAACTGTCAATGAAATAAAAGTCTAAATAGTCAAATATGCACTATCTTGTAGTTTGGTATGGTATTAAATGTTAAACAACTACTTTTTTTTAATAAGCAAAGGATATGCTTATGTGACTGTATTTTCATATGCGGTGAAAATAAAATAATTTTAAGCATTTGAATTATTTTGATTTTTTTTTTGTTTTTGGTCTCTGCATGTTTATTGATTGCAAATATGCATATTGAACATGGCATCCACATATTGCTAAACTTCATGCATATGGGGCATAGCTTTTACTGAATCTTATTATCTTAATCATAACTTTGAAATTTTTTGTAAATGCATAACATGTAGTCATGGTTTCAACTGGTCAACTGTATTACAGGTATCATTGTCTAGTTAATAGAAGCCCTGGCATAGTCTACAACTTCTAGCTAGACAGCGATTCCTTTTATATCCAATTAACTGTGAAAAAAAATTGTTAATTTAGATTGGAAAACTTTCAAAGAGTCATCACAGAGACTGAAAACAAATAGAAATTTTCTTCAATCACAAAGTATTTAAACAGATATAGATATTTGTTTCCCAGAGTGGAATTCAAACACATGACATAAGGATCAACTTCTTAACTCTTAACTTCTTAACTCATAGACTCCTGAGCAAAGGCCCTTACCACTGTACAACAACAACAAGCTACTGTACGCTTATAAACTGTTCTCTCTCTGTAAGATTTAAATGCAATGACTATAGTTTTATATACAACATGTACAAGGTTACCTAACCTAACTGATCATGTTGAGTCATATTAGCACAAATTTCTTTCAGCTAACCTTGAAGGATGATCATCAGCAACTATTTTGGATGGATACAATTTGTTAATTAATGTATAAACAACAAAATTACTGTGAAAAAGAATTGTCTACTTAAGCCAGAAGTTATATTTATGAAAATATACACTGGTCTCCATAAGCCATATGAGAGAAACATAAAATATTAGGGAGACCACTTTTTTCATATATTTTTAGTAGGCAGGTTTAATGAAAAAATGAGGCAAGAGTAGGCTAAATGGTGGTCTATAGATCATGGATCTGGTATTCCTCTTTAGAAAAATGCATAATTAAAAAAAATGTATATTGTCTCCTTAAGCCATATATAAAGGTCTGGTCTCCCTAGTCCATAAATCAGAGTTATATATATATATATATATATATATATATATATTTGTTTGAATTTTTTAGCTGGAATAATTATTTTTAATTATGTGAAAATTTTTTAGCTATATAATAACAACACACTTTAAACTCTAGATACTTACCAATATATGAAAGAAAATATATTTGTCAATAAGCAGTTTACATGAATGTTCAATCATTGCACTAATTGATAAATGATCTGTCAGTTTCCTTAAATGAAATGTATCTTTCCCTTATTTACTCAAACCCCAAATTAACTTTTATACCCAAATTAAATAAAATTATCAAATCTTTGCTACAATTATGTACTAGTAAAGTTATAATTGTAACCTAGGAAGTGAAGAGTGCAAGAGCAAGAATAAAAATGATTAGGTGCATATATCCCAGGGATACAGTCACATCCTTAAAAAGCAATGTCCTTACCCTTGATTCAGATTATTCTGTCTCAATTTTTCTATGACATGTGCACAAAGAAAAACTATTAGCTTTCCATGAGCAACGGAGCTACCTTGATACAGTACCCGCATCCTTATTCTTTACAGGATACACGATACGATAGGATACACGCACGATACGATACGATACGATAGGATAAACGCACGATACGATAGGATACACGCACGATAGGACAGGATACACGTACGATAGGAGAAACGCAAAACACGATAAACACAAAACACGATAAACGCAAAACAAGATAGACCTGATAAACAATCTTCACTATAGGATAAACGCAAAACCTGATAGGATTGTTTCAAAATGCGAAACGTTTTCTGACAAGACGAAAATATTATTTTGTTTAGTTACTACAATATTTTATTTTAAGTACTTGCAAAGCTTCAAATCTAAATTATGCAGTACATTTAATCATTATAAAACAAATTGAGATGACTGGTAATTTTACAAAAGTTGTGTCTTTATACATATTTTTTGACATTGATGAAATGGATTATTATGAAATGGAGACTGTAATTTTTTTAATTATTATTTCTACTCAAGGGTGTGGATTTACGATTATTTGTGTAAATGAATTCTCATCTTAAGGTTGAACTAAGACTCCTTCACGGAAGAAATTTACGCAATAAAATAAATATTTGTATTTAATGTCTAAAGCTTACAATCTGCGGTATATATCCAAAAATCGCAATTAAATATTAAAATCTTAGGGAATAAATACATGTAGAAGACCGGCCGGAATACTGGTTCAAAGAAATCAGCTTTAAAGAACTATACGAGGGTTGTTCGAAAAGTTCGTGGACAACTGCCATATCTTTTTTATTTGGCGTCATATGTTATCCAAATTTGGTAGAAATAATTTAACAATAAATCCAAATGATATTTATGAATTTTGACAACATATTATGATTAATTAAAAACTTATCCAGATTTTAAAAATGCAAAAATCGGATCGCGGAGCAGGTCAAAATTTAGTCAGTTACAGACAATACAATAAATAATGTCTATAGTCATATTCTCTGTAAACTGGATGAAAACCGTAAAACTACCTAGAAATTCAAATTAAAATTTGTTACATCGATACGTGTACCAAATGATGGTTTTATATTTTGCTTTGTTGAAAAGAAATCAACTTGAGAAGATAAGTTGTCCTTATTGAAAAGGACAAAAATGATGACGTTTTAGAACATCACGGAGCAGCAGGTACCGAAGCAATTTAGTGTTTTTCTCAGGAAAAATCCTGAATAAACTCTAAAAATGTTAAAAGAATCAAGAAAATATGTCACAAGCGAGTTGTACATGTATATACAAAGAGTACATGCAATATTTGAGTGAAAGGGACTCTGTATCGGATGAGGATGACCTGTGAAGAAACGATTTTACTGAAAACTTTAAATTTTGAAACGTAAATGAAAGACAAAGGCGCTTCAGAGTTGCCTAATCTGAGAAAGCAGAGTTAAGTTCTAAAAAAAATTGAAACCTTTACAAAAGAAAATTATACAATATGAGATCAATTCTTAAAAAAAAAACAAATTTCAAGAATTAGAAAAATAGTTTAATGAATGGGCATTGGAATATTCTGTGTGAAATGTATAGGTATAGTATCTATTATAAATTTTCGACGCTATGTCTTGACGTTACATTGCCGTTTTGTGTGCTCCACGGGTACAAAACATGTTGATTTTAAAATGAAGTAAATTTATTTGTGTTAAATCGAATGGAATGAAATTTCACACATCAACAAAGCAAATATTTTTACATATTATAATGTGCTTGTTTTGAATTTCCAGTGAGTAATATAACGAAGATGGGCATCGTCCACGAACTTTTCGAACAACCCTCGTATATTTCAAGAAAATTAATTTCCTGAGTAGAAATCTTAATAATTGTTAATATAATGGCGCTCTGCATTAATACATTAAACTGTGTCAACAGAATATGAACCTGCTACAACTACATGTACATGTACGTTTACGCTAAGCACTAACTTATATACATGTAAACGTTTATATATCAGATACTTAAAGCCTCGTATTAATTAACGAACATTGAATGACTTTTTTTTCCTTTACAACAAAAAACACAAAAATTTAAAAACAAATATTAAAAGGGTAAAATGCGTATTTTCCGACTAAATAATTATAAATCATTTCTACTAAACTTTGTGTGTACTGTTTCTAATGCAAATTAATTATTAAACCCTGAAAATTAATTATTTTAGACTTACCCGGTAATCTCTTATACGGCGTATTCGAAGGGCGGGATGTTGAAAGTTCCTAACCAATTTAAAATTAGATAAACATCATCTAACCAAATACATGTAGCCAAAAATAAATATTGACTTCTTAAATAAAGATATATTCGTATGGAATGAAATCGATTAATACTAAAGATTGATTGGGTGCAATACATTTACTCGTCTTGCATGGTCACGGCGGAATCAGACTTCTTTTTTTGATTATAGTAAAATACCGTAGAAAAAATAATGCGAGCAAATCCTCATAGTTTAAAATGTTAGAATTATTTCAATCTTTTCTACGATCAAAGAAATTGTTTCCTAGAATTAATTCTGTCTGTAACCCGATGAAAACCCGGTGATCCGAAAGAAAAACCGATGATCCGAAAGTTCATGTACCATAAGTGCAGTATTTTTTTTTTTTAATTTCATTAAAAGACTTATTTGCAAAAAGTTATGGAAACATCCTACAGATAAAATAAATCAGCGGATAGAGTTATGTGATTTTGTTTTATCTAAATTCAAGCTAATTTTCATCAAATTCATAAAATGTACAATTATTTTATTGATTTAGAAAAAAAAAATCTGTTATGAGTGTACATGTAGTTCACGCAAGGTGAGAACACAATCCCGAATATAGATACTGTTTGACACAAGATGAGAGAGCAGTTCAGGTATGTTGACGGTGAATACACACGTGCCGAGCTATCATTAAGGGGGCTAGGGGAGAAGGGGAAGGGGTGTTGACCGCACAGAAAGGCAGTGTGCTGATTAGATAGGTACACATAAGTGTCAGCTTAATGGTAGGGAAAGCTCTTCGATTTTATACGCTGGTGCATTATATTTTAGTTTATTTCCACGCCAAAAACGTAAGCTGTTGAAATCCATCATGTTTTTTCCCTGTTTATTATTTTTAGATTTTCTAATGCCAGATAAAATTAATGTAAAACTTCTATTTTATAGTAACTGCCATGAATTGTGTGATAAATCGGGTAGAGCATTTTCATGCATTACATTTTATAATTTTGATATTATTCTTTTTTGAATTGAGACGTATTAAGAAATTTAACTAATTAGATAGTGCTAAAATAAATTCCAAAAATTGTACATATACGGAGAAAATCTGTGTTAAAGTTATCTGGATCAATGTCTTAAATGCTTAAAGCTTCGTTATTATTTGTTTTAAAATCAAGATTTTAAATAATTGTGCATACATGTACATGCAGATCAGAGGCGAAAACACATTCCTAATATTACTAGACGATTGATCGGAAGAAAAAAAAAATGAAGAT